TACCACACCACTTGGGGCTTCAGCCACATTTGCAAACTCTTTCAGGATCCTCTCAATCTCTTGAGACCGGACTTCTTCCTTAGTTTCTCCTTCCTTTACTGGGTGCACATATGCAACAAAGACTTGGTCATACAAGTTGTTTTTCTTTACATGGCGAGCGAACGCTGGGGCACTTATGCAACAGTGAGCTAGGCTGCTTTCTTTTCCAGACTCATGATAGAGGCGAATTTTCTTTTTACCTCCTTGCGGACTTGGGAACCAACATTCATGCTCTCTCAATTTTAGATCCGCATGCGCAGCCTCACCCCAATCCATTCCTAGTAAGACGTCAAAGGGCAAGTTATCCTCCACCAAGAAGGTCAGAGAGTGGAGAACACGTTCCACCTTCCCCTCTGCCTCTAGCCGAAAGTATACTTGAACCCCCTCAACGTATCGATCCCTCAACGTATCTATCCATAATGGTTTCACTGCTGTTAGCTAATTTACTTATAATGGTCTCATTTAACTTCTTAACCTTAAGCCCAAGACGTCGTTTTTGCAAACCTTTCTTACTAACATAACTGCGTGTAGACCCGCTATCTATCATACCTCCTACTCTTACTCGATTTATTTCGAGATCTGCAATTATCAACCATCCTTTCTTTTTCCGCATTTCAGTCCAGGCTTGGCGACGAGCGGCCAACTCATCATCCACGCCAGCGAGGGATCCATCTAGAGAGACGCATACGTTTGCCGTCTCTGGACAATGCACTAGATGGGGACTGTCTTCCTCTTCAGTTTCTGCCATTGGGGCCTTCGAATGGGAGGATTCTGATTTTTCAACATTCGAAGCCCCGGTAGAGGCAACTGGCTCCTCTACTGGCTGTTCCCTTTTGCCCCCCTATAGTCAGGGCAATAGGGGACAATGTGGTCGGGTTCCCCACACTTGAGGCATTGGTCTGCTTTTTTTCTTTCTTGCCAGACTTTTTCTGTTATCCCCAATTCTTTCCAAGGCTCTCCTTCGGGTAGGCCTGGATGTGGTGGGTACGGTTTGTCCCACTTGTTATACCACATGCCTCTTCCTCTACCCCAGGTGGAGTAAGAACCACGGCCACCATTTCCCCTTCCTCCCACGTAGTGGCTTCCTTCACCACCACCCCTCTGGGTGCCGAATCCTCGTCCACCACGGGCGCGACCTCTTCCTCGGCCACGTCCTCTTCCTTGACGCCCTCCCCCACGGGCTGCAACAGCCGCGTAACTCCCCTCCTGAGCTACCCAACATCGAGACCATAGTCTACCTGATCCCAGGAGATGGTCTCGGCGCCTCCTTCCTCAAAGGTTAGAAGGAGACTGTCCTTCCCAGGTATAGACCCTGAGATAGTGCGGTTTTGCCATCTTTTACCCGCTTGCAGATCCTTCCAGTAATGGCAATAGTTCGCTTCGGCGAGGAAGCCGGCGTGATCTATTGCGATCTTGCCGAACTTCTCATATGTCATCCCCTCTTCTTTGGTGCGGGGATAGAGTTGTGTTCTCAGGGGATCCGGAAGTGCTCGTGCAAAACTGTTTAAGATTTGGGCCGGCGTCAATCCATGATCAGGGCATTGTAACAGTTCGTCCATAGTTCCCTTTAAGGCGGAGGTACTTTTCAATTTCCTATCAGGAAGGCTGAGGATTAACATCTCAGTGCGTCTTGCTAAATTCTTATTCTCGAATCTTTCTCTTACGGCTTTGAGGAAATCTTCGATTCACGTTTGTTGCGAATATTCTACCATGGAGCTGCATCCTGCCTCCTTTTGCAGCGAGATGGCGAAGCTCATGGCGTCGCCTCCCATGCATGAAGTTGCCATTAGTACCCTGTCCCAGTATGGAATACGTTGTCCGTACACATATGTTTCGATTGCTGCTGCCCAATGCAGAACACTTTCCTCCTTCTTTCCATTATAGGTCCACGAAAGTTTAAGTTTTATCTTGCTAACCTGCCCGGTTTCCTGAGGAAGTTTTTCTTTTGGATCCCCCCTTCTCTTCCCCTTCTTCTCATCATCGCCATCGTCATCACCATCTCCTCCTCCACCTCCAGCTCCCTTTACAATCTTTTCTATGACTTCGGGAGTGAAAGTTTTAGTGACGTGTTCATCCAAAGCCCGGATATAGGTCTGGACATGCTGGTCCACATCTTTGGCGGACCTTTCTAGGAAGTTGTTCCAAACATTTTCGAATTCAACCCGATGTGTTTCCACTCTTTGTATGGTCTGCCGCATTAAAGCCATGTCCTGCCTTGTGTTGAGGATAGTTTCTCTGAGGAGAGCAAGTTGGTCTTCGGTCGCAGAGGGTTTATCTTTTTGAGCTTCTAAAGCCTTCTGCAGTTTTTCCCCTTCTACCTGCAACCTTTGACCTGCTTTCACGTTTCTGACCCCTGGCGAGATACCCTTTCACGCTGCTTTACTTTTACAAGGCCTGAGGCCTGCATCAGGTAAAGGCCCTTTTACTAAGTTTGGGGGAGCAGCATTGTCTCTGATCGAATTTGGCTATGATGTATGCTGATGCAATGAGCCCAGACTTCAGACCCACATCTCATGCTGCCCGAGCGGAAAAGAGATGGAAACAAAACACGTCCTATGAGAACTCAAATCATCTGGAAATCAAAGTCTTATGCAAACAAGCTTGTGTACATCAGGCTAGAGAGGTATGGCCGCCAGCAGGCAACAACCATGGATACACTCACTCTTGACCCCCAGGCCTCTGTCTCTCCCTCTGAATGTCTTCTCTGTTCCTTGCGTATGGTGCACTACAGCTATGCGCCCCTAGACTAGAGCTACTCTTAGCCTCACTCTCTGCCCCGCTCGTCGCTTGAACGCACTACGACACAATGACACTTCCACAACAAGCACGAATGGAATGAGTGTTGGCAGCAACTGCTGCGGGGCTTTGTTATTGGACGATTCAGCTTCCCAGCACGTAGGCTTGTAGGCCCAGGACCCGGTAGCCTGCTGGCTTGGGTTTGTCAACTGTTGATGTTTCTGGAGTGTTCACTCAGGAGCCACTGTCTTACATGAGACTGGACTGAAGTGGACTGAACTCTACTACCAACGGGGTGCCTGGCTACCGAACTAGCACTGACTCGACGGTTTTGGCTCATTATGGGACCCTTCTCTGGACCCTTGGCACTACAGTGCTGATGTGCAGGTTCGTTGCACCCACCGTTACTGGCACTTGCCTAAGCAAGGCCTGTAGAGGTTAAACAAGGTAGCACATAGGCTAGGAGACACCAAAGAGAGCTTCACGCTTGTGTCAGCGGAGCAATACATGAGGAAGACACGAGGGATGAGTAAGGGAGTTTGGGATATGGCTATTGACTGAGGATGACTTGCGGCTCATTCGAACCAAATTGGTTTCCTAGTATTCTGGGATGTGACCTGTGGGAAGCACAATTTTGAACTATGTTTGTAACAATGATTGTGGAAAGAGTAACTTCTCGAAGTAGTTAGGAGTAACGTGGCCAGGAGGGGGTTCTAGGTTTTGTCTATGTCTTTTTGCTTTTGTTTTATTTTCTGTGTTTGTGCCTTCATTGCACATGAGGCTGAGAAATACTGAGTACACAGCGTTGAGTGATTCTTTTATGGACACGACTCACACAAATATTCAATGGCAATCGAAGGATTGGATCAGACATGAGATCATGTGGAAGGCCTTATAGTTAGACATATGCATGGCTACTTTGAGCTTTGTGCAATAACCCGCTCACGTATGCCTTGTCGTCGTCTAAGGCCCACCCGCAGGCCACAACATGGCCCTCAGGCCTTGCGTCCGACTAAGGGCAAAGAACCCCTGAAATGTAGCTTCAGAGGCCCTGCGCCCGACTGTTGAGTAAAGTCAACTGCCTGTCGGAATATTGAGGACCATGAGTCAAAGTCTTCACGGACCCAGTCCAGACCACCGGTCAGACAAGCACACTTGCTTGTACGCAGGTATCCAGACAGCATTCGGTCCAAGTGGAAGTCTGCAACTGGACGAGATCTAGGCCGTCGGCTGCAAGTCAATCTGAGCCTTCGTGGGTGAGAGACCAGAGGCTGGTCAACGTCGTCGGCACTACTTATTGACCCAGCCGCTGGGAGTCACCATTCAGTCTTGCCTTGCTGGCTTGACGCTGGCTGGACGCTGGCACTACGCTGGCTGTACGAGGGCATTGTGCAACGACAACCAAGACTGCTGCATTCGCGTGCTGGCGCCTCTCTGCTCTGATGCCAGCTGTCTTCTTTTATGCTGACGACGCCTGACGTGGCACTCGCGATGCTGTCTTTGACATTGCTGACGTGGCGAATGCCACACTGTCTACATTGTTGACGTGGCGCATGCCACACTCTCTACATTGCTGACGTGGCGCATGCCACACTGTCTTCATTGCTGATTGGGATGCGACAAGGAGGGAGATCAGGATCTGTGGGATTGATTGAGTGGGAGAGAGGGGACTTACCTGTTGATGCTGTTGACATTGCGCGCAGCAGAGTCGTCTTCATGGGAGAACTGTGCCTACGTGGCCCTCCGTTGTGATCAGATCTCGTCAGGCTTGTTTCTGGGACATTGTTGGCCGACGTGGAGGAGAGGAGATGCCCGAAGAAGAAGTGGAGAACGAGGGGTCTCTATCTACGTGGACATTGATGGATACTTTCTCTTCCACCTTCAAAGTCTATCCTCCCCCTCTCCTCCTTCGTCCTCTGGTTACGAGAAATTGTTTTACAGATCACATTTCACGCTTATTGGAGGCATTTATCAGGGCTGAGTTATCTTGTATCTCAACACTTGACGAGTTTCCTCCAGACTGGGTTCATTACATTTGTGTCTGTGGATTGCATTCCTTAAGTCCGTTTGTTCGTTGATTTGCTGTACTTGAGTGTGTGCATGCTTTTTTCTTCCCTCTCTCCCCCCCTCTTCTCCCTCTCCCCTCATTTGATTGCCTCCCCTCCTCGTCTTGCATATTTTCCCTCGCTGTTGTTTGACCTGAGGTGATTGTGTTCTGTGAACAGCTCCTCTGGGTGAATTTAATCATGGACGCGTTTGGCGCCTTGGCGCTGGCAACGGAGCCACCTCATGACAAGCTTCTTCAGAGACGCCCTGTTGGCCGAACGTATGTCAGTCGCTCTATGCCCCTCATTCATTACATGCTAGACAATGTTAATCGCTGAGAGATGCTGGGATTGGACGTATTCACTGGACTTGCTTAAACCACCTGTCTGCCAAGAGCCCTGCCCTTCAGCCACTGCACCAAAAATCTGTCTGAAGACTCCGAACCATACCTGCAGCACACCTGTGTGGTGCGTGGTGTGGGGTGCAGTGCGTGGCAAAAGCTCAGTATTATTAGCAAGAAAACAGAAAAAAGACTTGAAAACACACACACACACACGGCTGTCATGATGTCATCTGTTGAAATTGGAACAATATAGAGAAGATTAGCATGGCCCCTGTTCAAAAAACAAACAAACAAACAAAAAACTTCAAATAAAAGAAAACACGACTGTAAGAAATACCTGTTGGAACAGCATGAGGCACATGCATAATGACTGTATCTTACCTGAAATATCGCTTGCATACATTCAAGGTGCACTGAAGGATGAGAGACTCATGAAAAAGACAGATTTGGGGCCCAATGTTGATTGTTGCCTCAGTTTTGTTGCCTTTGCCTGATAGCATTTTCACGAGGGGAGGGGAGGGGCGTGCTATCACACCCCACCTCTCCCTTTTTTTCTCTGACCCTTATTTACAGGGTGTGGCGCATCAGCGTGCACATGCACCCATGGCGCACACGTGATGCACTGCAGCTATGCTCTGGAGTTGGAACTAACAGATTCATTTCGATGTGGCAGCGATGGTTTCTGGGGCTTCAAGGAAAGTGGTCGATTATGGCTGGCTGGGTGAACCTGGCTGTCTTGTCGGTGAGGGGTGGTTAAAGCGATGAACACATGTGTCATGTTCTTTTGTTGGTTGGTTGGTTGGTTGGTCCGTTTGTAAATTGGTCAGTGGGTTAGGAGGTCAGTGTGTGCAGAGGTTTGTGGGCAGGTTCGTTGGATTGGGTTAGTGGGGTGGGATTGTTGGGATTGGGTACAGTTGGTGGGTCGGATTATTAGCATTGGCTGGGGTGTTCTACTCTGGTTGTTTGGTTGATTGGGCTGGTTTCAGTTGCTCATGGTGGTTTGGTTTGGTTTGTGTTAAGTTTGTTTTGCTTTATTGGGTTTGTTAAACTTTTTTTCTTTTTTTCCGTTAATTTGCTTTGCATTGTTGGGTTTGTTTTGGATTGTTGAGCTTGTTTTGGTTTGCTGGGCTTGTCTGGGTTTTGTGTTTGTTAAACTTTGTTTGTAATTTTGCGGGGTTTGTTTTGGCTGGCCGGGCTTGGTTGTGGTTTTAGCTCGTTTGATATTGCCGTTTTACTGGTTTCGTCTTGTTTGGTTTGGTTTCTTGTTCGTCGTGGTTCTTTTGTAAGGATTTGATCTTTTGACTGGTCTGTTTGTTTTTCTTGGGTTGTTAATCTATTTGTAGGCTTGTTTGGGTTGGTCTGCTTGGTCAGTTCGTTCTGTTGGTTTGGGCGGTTCTGTTTGTTTGGTTGGTTGGTTTGGTTCAGTTTGTTGTTTAGGTTGTTTGGTTGGCTGGTTTGTTTGGTTGGCTCCATTGGTTAGGTTGCCTCCTTCCGGGCTTTGCTTACTTGCTTACTCGTGCTTGCTTCGCTGAGCGCTTGCTTGCATGTTTGCATGCTTGCTTGTGTGCTAGGGTGCTCACTTGGTCCCTTATTCGCTTGTTTGCATGCTGACCGACTTTGGGTGCAGGCTTGCTTTCTTTCATACGTGCAGGCATACTTGATTGCTCAAAATGCGAGAACACTTACATGTTTCCATACGTTCATGTCTACCTACCTGCCTGTATGTGTGCTTGGTTGCATCTTGCTTGTGTTGGATGTCTGCTTGCGTGAGTGGCTGCCTGGATGCGTGCATGCTTGCTTTTATGCCTACCTACTTGTGTGCGTACTTGCATGACTACCAACTTGCTTTCCTGCCTCCCTCTCTGACCCCCCTCTTGTTTGGATGGATCCCTGTCTGCTCATTTGCTTATTTGACTGCCTGCCTATGTGCTTGCTTGCCTGCCTTCTTTCCTGCTTGTTTGCACAGTTGCCTGCTTGCTCGCTTGTTTGTTTGTGTGATTCCGGCTTACCTTAGCATGCCTTGGTTGGTCTTGATTGGATCTGGCTAGGCTTCACTTGGCTTGGCTACACTCAGCTGGGCGTGGCTAAGTTCGGTACCATTCCTTCTCAGGTCTGCTCGTCTGCATGCCTCACCATGCCCAGCTCAGACTTGTCACTGATCAGCACAGCTTGGAGTGCCTCCCTTCGCTTGCTTTGCTCTAACGTGGCTGGCTTTTTTGTGGCTTTCCTTTCTGCGCTTTGACATGCTCCGGTCTGCCAAGCCTTGTCTTTCTCCAGCTTGCATTGATGTGTGTGGTGTTGCTTTGAGTTGTCGAGTTTTGCCGTGTTATGCTTGACTTGACCTGCATGGCCCTTCCTTGCCTGTGGTTTTGCGCCGCCTTGCCTTCACACTGCCTAGCATTCATTCAGTTGGAGCTGTCTGGTCTTGCTTTGGCTGATGTTGCCGTACCTTGCCTTGCCATTCTCCAGCTTGTCTTGTCTTGCCTTCCATAACTCAGCTTATCTTTGGTTTCATGGCTCAGCTTGACTTATTTTCCCTTGCCTTGTGTTGTCTAGTTCATCTTGCCCTTCTCTTGGCTTGCCCTACCTTGTTTTGGCTGCGCTAGGCCTTTTTGTGCTTGGCTACCCTTGGCTCTGCTCGAATTGGCTCTGCTTGGGTTGGCTCCATGTGGCTTGGCTTCACATGGGTTAGTTCTGCTTGGCTTGGCTCTGCATGGCTCGGTTCTTCTTGGCTTGGCTCCATGTGGCTTTGCATCTCCTTGGCTTTCTGAAGTTGGTAAAGCTTAGTGCTGCCTGGCTTCTCTGGGTTTGGCGCAGCGCAACACAGGCCTGCTTTGGCTCTACTAGGCTCAGCTCCCTCACCCTCTCTCTGGCCTGGCTTATTCTGGTTTTTCTTGGGTTGGCTTACCTTCATTTTGCCTGAACTCAGCTTGGATTGGATTAACGTACTGGAATGGGCTTTGCTGCACTCCGAGTGGCTGGGATTGGCTTGGATTGGCTCTGCTTGGCTTGGCCTGGATTTGCTCTGCTTGGCTTGGCTCTGCTTAGCTTTGCTTTACTGTGCTTCAGCTACTTGGCTTGAGCAGGCTTGGCTTAGATTGGCTTGTTTCTGCTCTGCTTGGCTTCAGTTCACTTCCAGTCAACACATCTTATTTCAGATCAGGTCAACCCGACTCTTGGATTGGCTTACCTTCATTTTGCCTGGACTCAGCTTGGCTTGGATTAATGTACTGGAATGGGCTTTGCTGCACTCCGAGTGGCTGGGATTGGCGTAGTTTGGCTCTGCTTGGCTTGGCCGGGATTTGCTCTGCTTGGCTTAACTCTGCTTAGCTTTGCTTTACTGGGCTTCCGCTACTTGGCTTGAGAAGGTGTTACATGCCCAGTTCGGCGATGTACATAATAAACCGAGGATCCGCAATGTGATAAAAAGGACGGAATGGACAATGCAGTGCAAGTGGAATCTCAACAAGCAGTGTGCATTCTGATACCTACAAAATGGCGCCTTGTGGCGCAGCGGAAGACTTAGATACAGGTCCTGACCTGACCGGGACTGACCTCTTTCACGTAGTACAAGATAGCGCAGCAGAATGCTAGAATACCAATGACGAGCCCACTCAATGTTGCAACGCAGACTAAACATACATCATCTCCATCACAAGGTGTGAAGGAGGCCTGGCACCACACACAGGAAGAATGCGCCAGGTCCTGATCATGCACAGACAAATAGGAGGGGAACACACGAAGGAGGGGAGTGATGGGAATGTCGTCAACACCAAGTCTTTGTTACAAGTCCCAAATAATCCCTCGTCAAAATGTCTGAAGCCCAAATGTCGAGTCTGGATCCAAATGTCACCAAGCTCTCTTTTTCTCTCGTAGTCTGCTGATGCAGTGAAGTCAGGTAGCGAGAGGGTGAGAGGGAGATGGTGGACTGAGAAGAGGAAGAAGAAGAACTCTCTCTCTCTCTCTCTCTCTCTCTCTCTCTCTCTCTCTCTCTCTCTCTCTC